GTCAGTTTTTCTTTCGAATTTCCCCATTCCACCTTAAATAGTGCCGCATTTACATTCTGGCGCCTCAGGCAGAATTTAAGGTCGAATGGGAAAATTTGAATAAGAAGCTGGCGAATGAGAAGCAAACCTCGTAAAACAGTCAAACATTGAGAGACATTTTACAAGAAACTGTTCTAGTTTTGAAGAAAAGTTTTCTGGCGGAGATGGGAGGAAAGTGGCTACAGCTAAAGCTTTAAGCAGAGCAGAGTAAGTCTGCATTTTGGTTTATATTGTTTAGCCTATATTAGGACATCAGCACATACTGAGACACATTGGACCTTAAATGTTGTGGCTTCCAAGGTAGTTTGATTTTTTTCAAAATGGCTCTTCTTAACATTTGGGTTGTCGACCCCTGACCTAATCTAGCTTTCAATGCAGAGGGTGCTGGTCAGATTTCTCACTCATCTAGTTGTGTTTTTGTTAAGTGCAGACCACAGACTGTCTGAGTGCACTTTCGTAATTCCAAGTTCCGCCTTTTGCATTCTGTCAACATTACATTATAAATTAAAATTTAGAAAATCGATTTGACATTTTTGAATTGATTCAAAATCGTCCACGTCCGCATCGTGATGCATCTAAGAATCGATGTTTCCCCCCACCCCTACCCAAAGCTGCTGTATGATAAGCTTTGCTCAGGTGGAGAAAGGTAACAGGCACCCCAAAGGGTCATTCTGAGGAGCTAAGACTCAATAAATGTTCCTCAGGGTTGGTACCACATAGAGGACAGGCCTGTGTTTACAACCCTAGGAGTCAGTTTCACAATTCCCACTGAGGCCAAGTGTTGATTCCAGAGAACTCATCTTGTGCCAACTACAGGTCCAGATCTGGCGTCATGAGCCCATTGCAGGTCCATTGGCGCAGCTCAAAGCCTGCAAAGTCTTCACCTGGTGTACACACACACTAGTTTTAGAAGCTATTCTCTACAGAGAACCTCAAGTCATAATCATGTGGGCTGTGGTCAGTGACATGACACTGTAGAGTGTATGTCACACAGCAAGGGCTGCAGGTCATGCTGAAAGGCTGGATTTGCCACTTGAAGGTTTTTGGAGTTTCTTTTACATTCAGGTCCCACCACAGGAAATTCAGCAGCGGACAATCATCAGGGAGGAGGCGGACCTGATGAAACATCCCTTTTGATGTCTCCATTAACTACTACAGGATGTTCACAAAATCTCACCAAGACTTCCAGCAAATAAGCACCAAGGGTGGGACCAGGTAGAAGGTACTGGTTTAGAGTCTGCCCATGGTACTGGTGAGAGCAGTTGAGGGATGTACCATTCTTCCTTAGAAGAGGGTGTTATCAAATGAGGCTGGTCAGAGCCTATAAGGAGTAATGGCTAGGCTTCTCTTACAGTAGGTATAGAAACACCATGGAGGTGTTTAAACTTCCTTTGAAGGTGGTCGATAGGGTAAGTATGCAGAGATAAGCTGAGTTGGCCAGCTGTAAAGACTCCATTGATCTTACAGCAAGCCTGAGGGTTGGCAGCAGGGGAAACACAGAAGGACAGAGTGTGTCCATGGAGTACCTGGATGTCTCCACAGACCGTACACAAGGGAAAGATCTTCAGGAGTGCCCTTAATGCCAAGAGACTTAGCTGCTGCTGGTAACAACATAGTCCTCTCTGACCCATTGTCGAGGATTGCAAAGGTGTCTAGGGTCTGCTCCCCATTTTTTTGTGTGATATTAGATTTTCTGCTGTCTACACTGTTATTACTATTTATTTAATTTATTAATAAACATGATAGGACCTTGGTTGCTTTCAGAATAAAAGAAAATGGCCACATCTGTTGCTTCATGTGTGGAGAGCAATGAGGCTGGATGTAAGTGCAAACAAACTTCAATAAACAAAAATAAACTAGAGCACACACTGAGAATAATACCAAACGAATCAAACAACTGGGCTCTTAACCAAGAAACCCATAAAGCAAACCAAACACAGGGCAGACACGTAACCACTACATGTAACAATCCAGACTAGACAACCAAGGACTGAAACAAAGGGTTTGATATAGCTACAAACAATAGGGAACACCTGGGAGAGGGAGGAGACAGGAACTTCAAACAGTCCTACCAGGAAAGGCAGGGCAAAGGGTGGAGCAAAGGAACCAAAACAAAAACACATGGCTAACATGCAGATCTTGAGGTGCGAACACAAAAGGCCAGCTACGGTGGGAGCTAGGTTAGAGGAGGAACCATGAACACATGTAGGGACACAACCAAAAATTGGAAACTAGACAGGGGATGGGACAACAGACTGGGACTGTAGATTAAACTTTGCTTGGGACTGGACAAGGGGTTTGACAACTACATAAACAGGGACAGACACCGTGGCAGTAATGGGAACTGGGACTGGGATTGTGACAGGAGCAGGGACAGATACAAACCCAGAAATAAGAACAGAAACATGAACAGCAACATCACAGGAACGTAAACAAAACCTGTGGTAGGAGACTGAACAGACACAGAGGAAAACGCAGACTGAACTCTTAGCCTGGGCAATTGGCACTGGAATGGAGTGAACAATGGAATGGAATGTGGAGCTGATACTGGAGCATGCCACTAGGAGGCCAGCACTGGAGCGAGCTACTTGGAGTGCCAGCACTGGAGCGGGATGCTGGAAAGACAGCGCTGGAGCTGCACAGGGAACCACCTCAAGGGGAGCAGCAGCTCTGGAAACCGGTACCGGAACATGTCAGTGAGGTGTCACTAGACACCTGGGTGCTGGCAGGTCTGGAGACATGGAGTGGAGATCTCTGGCAGGTCTGAAGACATGGAGGTCACTAGCAGGTCAGAAGACATGGAGGCCACGGGAAGGTCAGGAAATGTGGAGACAAGTAGTCAAGGAGACTTGGAGGCTGGCTGGTTAGGGAACCCAAAGGCCAGCTGGTCAGGGAACTCAAACTGCGCACCAATGTCCTCAGGTGCAGGCTGGGCCTCATCAACATCCAGAGAAGCAGGCTGGACTGCACCAACTTCTCAGGTCAGGGGTGTCAGTGGTGTCAAACTCAGTTACTCAGTTCCTGGCAGCCCACAGCTACGCTAAAATTAATTTTACTGCCTCTGTGACCCTCAACAAAAATATTACACTTCTCTGTAATGCTAATCCAGGTGGATCCAGTCCCAATTTCTACAGTCTATAAGTGCTTGTGTATCAGCATCAGTATCAGCACATATAAACATGGAAAATAAGGGATATCTCCATCGGCCCACAACTCAAAACAATATATTTCAAGACATCCCTAAAGTTAAATGAGGTAAAGTGATCAATTCTACGGTGCTGTGTCCCAAGCTGGAGCCGAGTTTAAGTTTGATCTGTGTAGTGTTTATATTTTTATTTATTTATTTATTTTTTTTTAAGTACTCTGTTTACTGCTAAATATGTTAGTGCTGTGCATAGCCTTCAGAATTTGGGACAGTATGTGAAATGCAATAAAAACAGAAAGCAGTGAGTAGTAAATTCTGTTGGACCTGTATTAAATTAAAAGATGTACAAAAACGCAATATTTGATGTTTCACATTGTTCACTTTTTTGTTTTTTGTGTATCTGTATAATATTTCCAAATATGATGCCTGAGACATAATCCAAAAAAATCTGGAACAGGAGCATGTTTCACTGTGTTACATACTGTGTTTCTAGATTTCTCATTTTAGCATTTGGCATATATATCTTTTATGTTTTACTAAGTGTTCTTCTCTTCTTCTCTCTAAAAAGACATTCAATATTTATTAGAAAAGTTAACTAGCCACTGTAAATTAACATTAGCTCACTTAGCTAGCTGGCTTTCATACACGTGAACTGCTTTCATGTCTAGTTTATGGACAAAACATTAACATTTCTGGGAAACTGTAGCAAATGACACAGAGTAAGCTTAACACTGCTGTAAGGTTACAGGTAAAGAATCCATAAAAAAGAGCTAAACTTATTCTAGCTTGTTTGCTAAGCTAACAGCTGATTTATTATTCTATAAAGCTGATGGTCTATTTCTATTCTGGAGCCACATGTTAATACACTGTACACATTAATTACACTGTAAATAATGAATAAAGTAAAGAATAGTCAGAGTACTTTTTCCAGGGAGTAATAAAGAAAGTAATGCTATTTCAGTTTGAGAGATGAGGTGAGTGATCTGTAATAGATTAACTAACCGATGAAGATTCTGTAGACCAACTGTTACAGTAAAGATGCTGGTAAATCAAAGTGTACATGAGAAACCTGTAACATTTTAACAGCAACAACAACAGAATTCTTCTTCTCTTTGACTGAACTGAGCTAGACAGTCAGTTCACAATCAGTCCAGCAGGAGGCCAAACACACTGACAGTGACCATTTAAAGTGTTAACATGCTTGTTTCTTTACAGACATTTTATTGAATTCAGTCATTTGATTGTCATTTTAAAGAATTACTGGCCCCCTGATAAAAATGAGCGAAACACATGTACATGAGAGAGACAGAAAGAGAGATAGGGACATTCTTCTGAATGACAAATGTGTCACAATTACTGGCATCCCTCAAAATTCTCAAAAATTCTCAAAATTTTATTCAAGTCTACATTTATTTCTGTTCTAATTTCATTTAACACAAATATGTTGTAAAATATTGACAATAACAATCTTTATTTTAGAGCACTTTTCATACTGGTGGCAGCTCAACATGATTTACAGATAGATTTAATAGGAGTAGAACAAAATATGAGCATTCAGACAGTCTAATAAAAGGTGGAATAGAAATCCACAGTTTAGAAGCAGATCAATCTATCTATCTATCTATCTATCTATCTATCTATCTATCTATCTATCTATCTATCTATCTATCTATCTATCTATCATCTTTGGTTTAATGCTGCATTCTGCATTATTCCACAGTCAGCAACATCAAGAGACGGAGGGAAAAAATAGAAAAGAAAAAACAGGAACTGCACTGCGGTTGAGCTGCTTCACTCAGAGTCAGGAAGAGTATTTGTTTTTGGAGCCTCTTACAGAAACACATACTTTTACTCACTCATGAGTTCTTTAATTCTCTTTGTGTTCCTCCTCTGTATCTCAGGTAAGATCAGTGCTGTATTTTTCCTGTACTGTGTTTTTTATCTTCACACTTTCACTGCTTTAATACACTTTTGTTAACCTTGTATTACATGACGTTGCTTTGCTGTAATGAACATGTTTTCTACACTTTGCAGTGACATGATGCATGTTAAAGTACAAATGGTATAAAATGTTAATAATAGAAGGAATTTTGAATAAATCAATAAACAGCTGCTATTTTGCTGTTACACAGAATAGAATTCTTCTTCTTCTTCTTCTTCTTCTTCTTCTTCTTATTATTATTATTATTATTATTATTATTAAATATGAGCAGCCAGAAGCCTATTCCAGGAAATTTTATCATTTATGCAATGGAAAAACACAAAAGACAAGCACAACCCTATCAGCCCATTTCAGTGTGCAGTGTGGCGACTCCCATCTGTAGTTGTATCACATAATAATCTTTTCTCCTTCCTCCTTCCTCTCCTCTGAAGTAGTTCTAGAGTAATGCTGAATTAATTGGCTTCTGTTCTGCAGATTCTGAGAGCCTGAAGACACTGAAGAATTTAGCTGTAGAACGTGGAGGATCTCTCAGTATTCCATGTTTTTATGATAAACAATACAAATCAAACCTTAAATACTGGTGTAAGGGGGATTACTGGTCCTCCTGTGAAATAGTAGCGTCTACAAACACAAGAGGAAGAACATCAGTCACTGATCATCCAACCCAGAATATGTTTACTGTGGAACTGAACAGCCTCCAAGACTCTGACTCTGGATATTATTGGTGTGCTGTGGAAATTGGTGGGATAGAGACCCCTGATGATGGTAATTATTTGTACCTGACAGTCAGTGCAGGTAAGGAGACTCTCTGTGTAAAGTAGAACATGTTCTCTAATATAAACCTTGTAAGATGTCATTTATCATGAAGAACATGTTTACACCACTCATTCTCTGCCTCTTTAATCAGATCCTGCTGTGTCTGTGACAAACAGTAGAGTGAGTGGTCAGGAAGGGGGCAGTGTCAGTGTCCAGTGTCTCTACAGTGCTAAATATCAGAATAAACAGAAGCAGTGGTGCAGATTTAAAGACTGGAGCTGCTTCACAGTGGGGAAGACTGATACATCCCAGAATTCAGCAGTGCTGGTCATTGACAATGGAAAAGGATCGGTCAGTGTGGAGATGAAGGGTCTGCAGAAGAGTGATGCTGGCTGGTACTGGTTCAGTGCAGGAGATGTGGGGGTTACTGTTCACCTCACTGTCACTGAAAGACCTTCAAGTAAGATCACATGTATCAGAAATACTGTTCATACCTGCAGATCATCAAGCTGTAATGTTGTCACTCACACCAAATTGTTTCTTCTTCTCTTATGTTAGCAACAGCTGTGATTACAACTTTAAACAGTCAGGAAACCCAGGAAAGTGTAAACACTCCAGGTACGGTCACTCTTGCACATCTCGTTGGTGCTTGGGGCTCCTCATTCCATCTATCAACTTAGGTTAAACATTTGGGGGGCTACGTTTAATCTTACATCCTAATTCACTGACAGACATTTAATTTTTGGGAGAGACGTACACATAAGAGGAGAAATGGTCAATGAATATGTTTAATTTTTGAATAATTTTCTTTTGTTTTTATTATCATACAATTTTTGTAATTATATGAATTAGCAAGTGGAATAATTCAAAATGTATTCCAGTCAACTTTGATTAGTTTCTGTAATTTACTAACAAAGTGCTTATAAATTTGAAAATGAAAATCAACAGATAAAGTAGGTAATGTGAACATTTTGCCAGTGTCAACTTACAGAGCTCTTTTTGTGATATTACATTTTCTGCTATCTGCTATGAAAGTATCAAACTTTTTTTTTTGTCAGCCGCCACGCATTCAGAACGTAGCCCAAAAAAACAAACCCCATGACATTATAATTTCCACCCAGGTTGAATTTAATTCAATAGCTGAATCTATCTGGCTATAGTGACTAAAGACAGACATGTTAGTGTTATAACTTGTTTCAGTGTCTCAGTGTCTGGAATTTGTGCTGCAATATAAATCAGCATGTATTTAGAGTATTTTTGCTAGGCAGTTTATGTGATGAGTTTACTGAGACGAATATCCTTAAAGTAAATATCAAGCAGTGACAGATGTAGAGATTGTTCAGTTAAATTCTGACTGTGTTAAAGATGTAAATTATCTTTAATTTCTTGATTCTTTTCTCTACAGAGGAAACTACATGTTCTGGCACTGAGAAACCCAAGTGAGTAGAAAACCACAGTAAAAATACTGAAGGGAATGAAAGAGGTCAGTATTGGTCAGTGCTTATGGTGCATTTGGATGTCCTTGTAAGCTTGTAGAGCCGGACAATTGCCACATCAGTACTAAGCAGATTTGTGCTGTTTTAAAAATGTAATCACAATATTCAGCTAATCTTTATTATGGTTCACAAAATTATCACAATACTGTATTTGGAAAAAAGCTACACTGATTACCATGAAATACAAGGTGAGACCATGAGTAAAATGAATATTCTTGAAAGTGGTCTATGCTGTGTTTGGAACAAAACCGTTCATTTATTGCTAATTGTTTCTAACTGGCAGGTCCTGTTTATTCTCTGCAGGTAGACTGAATGTTATAATCATTTACACACATTATGATGCAGATATTAAAGTGTCACTGATATATTAACTATTTGTAAGGGATCAGTCTATGTCACCGCCCACAAGCAGACAGCAGGCTATTTTAGCATCTCCTTTTTAGGCTTTTCCCACCTTTTTCTTAGGAGTGTAACTCCTCTTGCTGTCTGAGCCCCCTGGTGATACAGTGATAACACATTATAGAATCTGTCATCATCACCACAAGATATAAACTGATAGTCTGACACCTCAGTTTGTGAACTTATACAGGTTGTGATTTATTCCTGCTTTGTTTTGTGTTTCAGAGAGTCAGTGCAGTTCTGTCTCACACACACAACTGAATGATTCCACAAATGCTGAGATCCTGGAGCCCAATTCCAGAACATGTTGGGACAGTATGTGAAATGCCAGTATAAACAGAAAGCAGTGATTGGTAAATTCTGTTGAACTGTATTAAATTGGAAACAGTACAAAAACATAGTATTTGATGTTTTACATTGTGGAATTCATTGTTTTTTGTGTGTTTATATAATCTTTCCCAATATGAAGTTGGAGCAGGAGCATGTTTGTCACTGTGTTACATCACCTTTCCAGTGACCTCCTGCTCTTTAAGTGACATGAAGCCAAATGCAGAACTATGATCCTGATATTTGTTCATAATTATTTTTGGAAAACTGTAAACTTCATTCACACTGTATGTATAAAACTGTAAGCAAACATACATTCTTCAAAATGTTCTTGAAGTTTTGCATGTAAAATGGAAGTGATTTACTAATATGAAGCTATAATAAAGACTAGTCTACGTTTCCGGGGACTCATTTCTCAAGTGTGCACACTCACAGTTTTGTGTGTAAGAGTGTGTAGATGTAGAACTACTGCTGACCATGTGTATGTAGAAACCCCTAGTGGTAGAAATGTGTATTTACTAGTAAAACCATCATGAGATGCACAAACTCACATTAATTATCAGCTATTTCAGTATAAGTGACAGAAAGAATTGGTGACTATTGAGCTCATACACTGTAAAAATGTTTCCTCAGCCAACAGAAAAAATCTTATTTCAGTTGTTTTGACTTTTAATCTACATTTAGAAATTTCACATCATTTTAATTCACATTTGATGTTCAGTGTAAACAAGACAAATACTTCACAATTTGAAATAAGTGTGGAATTTTATTAATTGTAAAAAAAACCCCAATGTTCTTTCCTTGTAGACATTATAATCTAGAATTAAAATCTGCGTGCAAACTGCGAACATGTAAAATAAAAAGTTGTATTTTTTTCAACAACAATTTTTACACACAACACTTCTGCTTTTTAAATGCTTCATAGGCTACTGAGAAATTTGTTAATCATACATACACTCCAAACATGTAATATCATAACAAATATCTCAACAAAACACTTATGACAGCAAATTTTTACTCCAGATGTAGTAAATTAACTGAGACATCAGAATCAGAATCCGAATCAGAATCAGAATCAAGCTTTATTGGCCAGGTATGCTTACACATACAAGGAATTTGGTTTTGGTTACAGGAGCTCACAGTGCACAGTATCAGACAGACATTTACATGTAGTGAATAAAATAAAATAAATATAAAATAAAATAGAATAGAATTGAATAAAATAAAATACAATACAATAAAATAAAATAAAACATGCATTCCTACCACCACTCACTCATTCATACATACACTCACACAGCCATACCTGTAACCTTTACATTGTGCAACCTTACCTGTAACCTTTACATGAGACATGTTTGGTGCCTAAATTTTTTCTTTAGTTTAGCACTGGATCTATGAGACTAACATTGCTAACAAACACTAGAAGTCAACAGTCAATTTTTATACAAGTGTCAATCTTGAGTTTTTGACCTAAAGATTATGTTTAAAAATTGAAACAGAATCACAAATGTAGTGTGGTGTGCATGAAAAGAGGAGTCAGATTTTGTAGGGTATTCAGAATTTAGCACAACTCCTGTAAAGTGCATGTCTATAGCATTCAGATACACGAGGAGGTTTTTGCATTTTTGTAACTCACAATAAGTCACAGTTCTGTGTAAGTCATTCACAACTTTATTCAAGACCTAGATGCAGTTTGAAGGGGTTGAGAGACATTTTGAAGATGTATTTATGGAAAATATTTGGGTGACTATTGACTTTTAGTGTTTGTTAGCAATATTAACCTTGTAGCTCCAGCGCTAAACCAAAGAAGCAACATTTGGGCATAAAACTCGCCTTGGTTGATTGACAACATCTGAGGTAAGTGACAAATTGTGTTAATTTGATTTTTCACCAATCCATTCCTTTAAGTTTGTATATGTATATGCAGTGCACCTGCAGGTACTTCTGAAACGCTTTTTATAGGTAGAAACTGTGTGAATCAGCAGGAAGTAAAAACTTAAAATTAAATTCTTGGAAGGAAACCATTTTCATCATAAATGGAGTTATGACATAACTGAAGTTTGAGGAAAGACCACGCCTAAACTCCTCCTTCCCAATTTCAGCTTCCTATAAATACCAGTCCTTCACTCCTCCTACTCGTGACGAAATTTCGCACCCCTCCTCCTCCTCAATCTTTGATAGGGGGGTCGGCCTTCTCGTGATCCACAGAATCCATACTGAACTCCAGCCCAAAATTTTCTCAGAGTTCCCCTCCTCTCATTATCTCACGTACCAAGGCGTGGTCTGCTTTTGCAAAATGCCCCTAAAGTATAGTACAAACTCCATTGTCAGATGACTCGCACTGCAGTATCTTCTTTGTAAGAGATCTGACCAGAAACACACACAGTTACACCTGTAATCAGAAGAAGGAAAACAGACCAATCAATTTTACACAATTTTCAAATGAAGTGCTGGAATGGCAAATATGTCCGAAGTTTGCTTCTTCAGTTTTGCACTCGAGCTATGAGTTAACAGAAGTTACATTACGTGCGCACAACTGGAACAAACTGACAGAAGATCTTAGATGTGCCTCAAATGTAATGATTTTTATATCCATATTAAAAACATATGCCTCTTTTCATGTGATTATGACTGAGCTCTAAAACTTGTTCTCTATTTTTATGGCACTTTAGCCTTAAGATAAATTTATTTTCTCTTTAAATTTATTTTGCTAATTGTTTGTTTATGTTTACACATTTTTACTCTTAAGCTCTTTCTTTTTTTCTTATGAAATTATATTCTATTGCTTTTATTTATGTAAAACATACTGAATTGCCTTTGCGTATGAAATGTGTTGATATAAATAAACTTGTCTGTCACCCAAATAGATTTTGGGACATCAAACATAGCTTGACCAACCACCAACATTTGGGGTACAATTTTTCATGAATTTGAATAACAGTCGATTAGGGGCCGTCACAGCAGATGTATTTTGACCTTCACTCTGAGACTCTCTCACCTCTTACTCTCAAAACCACAGAGCTGTAGATCACTGCATCATCTCTGACTGCCTGAGAGAGCTGGAAAATAGGACAGGTTTAGAAATATTGGAGCAGCTCTCATTTCTACCACCCTCAGCACTTCCACCAGCTAAACTAAACACATAATATATTACTATATTTATATTTTTTCTCTTTCAACCAGCTCACTCAACTCAAACTATCAAGTGGTCAAAACAGTGAACTGTTATTGATGATAATGGGTGTAATTTGCACTTACAGTTTTCTTTTTGGTAGTTGGTTACATTGTTGTAGATCACATCATTTTCAAGATCCGATGCAGATGAAGGCTGTGGACATAATTCACTCAGTAACTTAATCTCTTAGGCAGAAAGATTTTGGGTAGAGCAATGACAAAGTGGGTCAGCCAACTTGGTAGATTTCCAAATGCACTATAACATCTGGCTGTAGTCTACTGCTGACAGCTGTACAGTCATGACCCTAACTTTTTCACCCTATGGTGATATAAAACAATAACTAGGCTGTATACACATCAACTAGAATGCCTGATTCATATGAACTCAGCCAACACTGCAACACCTTCACTATAAGACATATATCCATTCACCGCAGAGACTATTTTTACCCAATGAAGATAATATAACTGGGGTAAAATTTGACAGATCACATGTACAAAGAAGATGAACAACAACACCTAAACCTAATAATGAACCTATGCTAAATACTGCCATAATACAGGCAAGAAAATGTTTATGGACCATTTATGTCCTACCTTTGATGACCAAGGCCATTGTAACTTTTGTGATAATAAACAACATTTGAAAATAGGTAGAAAAAAAATTCAATTTCATTATCCTTAAAAATACAACTTCATAAATATCCTTTCAGCATTTGATTGGGTAGGCTTGTGACCAGTGTATTTATACCCGTGTCTACACCCCTGATATACAGTTGGGTGTGAAACATTAAGCCTTACCTTTTTATTTTTACGAATCACAGTGCTGTATATCGCTGAGCTCTCAGCCGTAGGTGCCTGTTTCACACAAACAAATGTGATTTTACACTCAAAATTAGATGACCAAACAAGACCCATAACAGTATTATATTATTTTTTCTAAAAACAAATGGGCTTTCAACATTACAAGTCTGATGAAAGAGAGGCACAACAATAACTACTGCCTTGTGGTTTTAACCACCAAGAGCAAATTAGCACCATAACCACAAATACTGACTGTGTGAACTGACAGTGTTATTGACCCTCCCTCTGGTCTCTGTTTGACTTCCATCTGTTAGAGTGAGATGGAGTGAATTAGATTATTATACACACTAGTCATTATTGATGAATTAGTTGTCTGCTTGTATTTATGTAAAAACACAACATTCACAATATACAAGAGAGCACAACATAAACATTTGTTATTAGTTTTTAATCCTGTCCTTTTTAATAGCAAAATCTTAAAAGCATGTTTAAAAGGCCTGTAATAAAACAGGAGATAGTAAATACTTACTGCACTTTTTTTTCAGCATGCAGGTTATAATGATGGTCAGAATCAGCAGCAGCCCCAGGCCGACAGCCAGTAGAACCCAGATAAACCCGGTATTTCCATTGCTGCAATGAATAATATCTTTCACTGATAGCCTTACATTAAACCTAACATTTTTAAAGTATACATGCTGCCAAATAAGATGTTTTTTATATAAAGTACAGAATGAATAAAAGCTTAGTTCATCAACATTTCACATCATGTGTAAATTACTCGTGTTGCTTGAGTCACTAACTTTCTCTTAAGTTGTTACTGCAGAAGAGGCAGCTGTTCTGCAGGAATAAAAACAAATCAACATGCTGTACTGAAGTGTGAAAAACCACACCACTATACACAAAATTAAAAATCACATGTAAGGGCCAGTGTCTATGCCACATGCACACCCCAACACTGTTTTTTCAACTCGACATTTTGCAGAGGACTATACTAAGCAATACCACAATCCAGCAACCTTCAACTTAACCTCACACGTGCCTGCTCCTGCTCAACATTGCAGTGCACTGCTTTGCTTTTTTAGAGTTTCTTTTATGGCCCCCCAGAGTGTTCATTAGGCCCCACATTTCACACCTTAGCTACGTCCAAAAGTTTGCAGAAACCCTATCCAATTAATCCAGCTCATAATCCATAATTCAGTTTAAAATACACTTAATGATGACACTGGAGTTCAACTACACACACAGCTTGAATAATCTCCATAGAAAACTCAATAGAATGGGACGCTCTGGAGCAGCAACACATGAACAAGGTCACCATGAACAATGT